AACCACTTTATACAAATGAAATATTTGCTCTAAAAATAATGCAGTGGCTGTAATAATTTAAAAAGTTATCATTAAATCAGTTGGATGTTATTTTAGAGATTTTAATTAAGATTGACTGAGTTGATTTAGTTATTTTAAGGTATTAAGTGATTTTATAAATTTTTATTCTTATAAGATAATTAATTATTGTAGATCGAGTTTTCAAAATATTAGGTTGATTAATTATCATCTCAAATTATTTCTTTATATGTATAATAGATATATGTGGCAAACACTTACAAACGTACATATAATGTATGACAATTAAACTGGCCATAGTTGTTATTTGGATTTTAATCTATTATATACATATGTGAAAATTTACATACTAATGACAGTCAGCAAAGTTATAAATAAAGCGCAATATGTCGAGAAATGGCAAGGGCGGTCAGTGGTGAGGACTCGCGAGCATTAGCGGTGTCTATAAATTCCGAACTTTGCAATGTAATTCAAACGGGACAAATGTAAGTTACTCCGTCGCGGCGCGTGGAATGATGTATTATCGGGCGTCACGTGCTATATAATTTATTATTCGTTTCTTGTTATTCATTATTCAGCACATTTGTCTGCGTGTGTCTCGGATTATAATAATAATGTAAAATCGATCGAGAATGGCAACGGAATATGAGTTAATTTGTCAACGACGTATAATCGATTTCATAAGTGCTTCCACATTTTGGAAAAAAAATCAATTCCAAATCAATTGACGACTTTGTAGACATTCGACGGTATTAGAACGTTTTGCATGTAAAGAAGTGAGTCAGATACATATTTTAATTATTAACCAATCGTAACGTATTATTTAACTTTCTTCAAATGTGATATGACGTTGTAGAATGAGAAATAATACAGAATAAGGAATTTTTTCCATATATTAAATCTTCTAATTCTAAATTGAATTCTTCTCTCTCTTTCTCTTTTTTTTTCTATTTATATTTATTCGCATGAATATAATACGAAAAGTGGAAAGAGGTGGAAATAAATTATACACGAAAATACATATACTTTTTGCTCTTGTATTGACTGCACTCGGTCGTTATCGATGTGCCATTTTTACCCAAGTTGAAGGGCCAAAGCAACTTGTTGGCGTGCCGAAAAAGTTTTTACGGAATGCCTGCGACTAATGCCTATATAGCCAAACTCGCAGCTTTGGCCACGAGAAACAGACTACAGTTGGAAACACGTATATTCTACTTACTGCGGAAGTACAAATGTTTCACAGCACCTTACCATACTTCCTTCGTACAATACCCTTGAATTACCCTAGCTCTCATATCTCGTTTCTTGGTATTTCAGCTAAGGAGGGTATTTAAGTTGCTTCGTTAAAAACTTTCGGGTTACCTGACCTGACTGTAAATATTTTTGCGCGATCTAGGATTCTAGCGAAGTGTGAGAAATACTCTGAGATTTTATTTGAGAAACAGTGGAAGACGTGCATATGATACATATTAATAAGCGAGCTTTAAGTTGTAATTCTAATTCAATAATCTTTGATATTAAATATGTATTTTCAATATGTAGTACCTACATATCTGAAATAATAGAATTGATATATTAAAGTTTACAATATATGTATATTTAACATATGTCTCCACCTTTTGGTTGAAATCATATTTCTTATCTGGTCATAAGTTGGTTTTATTGTCCGATTACAAATCTGTACAAAAAGAAACAATCTAGTTAATGTCACATATCTCCTTGCTATATGTCGACTTGAAATAATCTTGAATAATTTTGATGCAGACTACTCATCGCATCTTCTGCATTGTTCCAACATATCAATCCACGAACAAGATAAATCGGATGATTCAGATATATTTCTCTCAAAGACAGTTAATAAAATTCCGAGGTAGGATCAGGACTAATTGTAAGTATAGGATATACGTGTCGGATACTTTAATTCGTCCGATATCGCCTCATGCGTTTTAATTAAAACTTCTCGGCTTGAAAAGAAACTTTGATCGATTGCGAAGAGCGGATTACTTAATTCTGTAGAAAAAAACGAATATAAAGGAGACTCGTCCTGTCGGACAAATCTTTCCTTTCCGTTTACTCCCGGATAAGCATACTTCCTCCCTTTTCCCGCATCTCCTCCACCGTCTCCCTGTCTGAAAGTTACACTGACAGGATCCAGTCGGAATATCCGAATCAAGTCTGCGAACAAAGGGAACAAAAAATTATGGGAAGTTCTCGCGAGCGCCACATTGCGCCGCGCCGCGCCGCGCCGTTCCGGTATGATGTTCCGAAGTCGAATTTATTCGCGGGTTAAAGCGTAAAATCGGCCACCGGCAGGCTCGAAACTGGCGAAATCGTATTACTCGATGAATATGCAGTACGATTTTGCGGTCGAAAGTTTTCAGTCGGTTGTAACTCGCCGTGCTGTTTCTGCTTCTGCTCGCACCGTAGTCCTAGACTGACGGCGACGGCGACGACGACGGCCGAGAGATTTGCAGAGACGTATTCTAATTAGGGCAAAAAGCGGAATACATCACGCGGCTGTTCCCTAAATCACATCCGTACCCGAAATACCGTTCGGCTTCTTAATTGGTTCCTTTGCCGTCGCTACCGGGCACTGCGGCAAGATATCATTTAGGATCCAGAAATTAATTAAGAATCGCGTATAGCGAACGACGTTAGTGGTTATAGAACGTTAATATATTTTACTATTCTTATTCTTGATCTTTTAGAAATTATATTTGTAGACATGATGAAAAAGCAAAACTATTTGTCCTATTTTATTTATATATTTCGTTATTTTAGAAATTTATCTGACTAAGTAGAATTAGATTTTAGGATTTTATCCATTCGAATAACGACAGGCGTTCGAAGATAATTTGCCTTCCCGGGACATAATTCGATTTCTCTATCGTGCTAAATGTACCCTCGTTACTCAATTTCCCGATCGAGCTATCGCTTCGAATTATTATCTAATTCGTTATATTCGATAAAATCAATTGCCATCTATCGGTTAAAAAAAAATCATACACAAATGATAAAATTAAATTGTTACGAAAATTGGAAAGATATTTGAAATGTTTGAAAAACTATAACGTTTTTTACGTATTCTTGTGAACATTTAAAATTTTTCAAATATTATTTGCAGTGACTCTTTTCTGCTGTGTGAAAAATACGTTTCGAGTCCCTTGATAAACTTATCAATCACGATAAAGAGAGTTCAACGGAAAGTTCGTGTTCTCGTTTTCTTGAAAAAAAGTATAGATGAGAGGAAATTCTTTGCGAGAATACACGGCTTAAATGTGCGCGTTTCGTTGAGGCGTGACTAGCCAAAATTATCGAGGAAACTGGAATTTCCCGGTCGGCCATGAAACGTCGTAAAGATATAACATAGCGCGCTGGAGAAGAAGCTGAATATAGCTTGTTCAAGGATTTCTGCTTGGCAGTATGCAGCTGCAGCTCCTGTCGTAACCTAACCTACCTTCCCTGCCTACCTTACCTTCTCGCCGCTCCTCACCTTCTTGTTGTTTCGTACACTCCATGTCTCTCAACGTTGCCTCAGGGCCACGAGGTGGTCGGTTTAAACAAGGAGACCGAGTCACGGCAAGCAACGTTTAATTTTTTTTTTTTTTTTTAATTGAACGAATAATATAATGTCCCAGAATTAGAATTGCGGCTGACCTTTCTCCGCTAATTCTTTTCTCCGCGAAATAATTCAGTGCTCTATTTTCTACTCGAGCTTTTTTTTGTTCTTTCCGCGCGTATACTGTTACTTTTCTCTTCTGTAGGATAATCTGCGCACTTTCACACAACGGTTTCGGTTTATTACCTATTAATTATACATTTCTCATTTTTTTAGGCATTAAATCATATAGAAAATTAATATAATTATTAATATTAAAGATTATTTAATTTTAACTTAAAATTATTTGCGTCTTTATTAATCAACAATTAAAAGTGTAATTATTTTATGCAATTGTAAGAAAGTTTACGTTAATATTAATGAATTTTTTCTTAAAATCGATTGTGTACGTAGCGCTTAAAATTAATTATTTATTAAATTTAATAAAGCACTGAATGCCGATAGTCTAGAATTGTACATTTATTTTCTTTAAAATTTGCGCAATTTCATCTAAGCACATGCAAAGTTTTATGTCTCCTCCATCCAAATTATACATCTGTATTATCACTCAACTGTAAAATCCAAAAATCCGATTACCTCAAGCCCTTTTCGAATATAATCGCAATTTATGTACAAAGCGTTTATTGCCTTGCAAGATCCATTTACCTGTTTATCTTGAGAGGATATATGTGACTTTAAAACAATGCAGATATTAGGAAATACAAAATTTGGGAAACGTAGCCCAAATTATTATTCGTCACTGTATCTCAATGTAAGGATTAATAATACCGTATATGTTACCCTCTCAGTCGGAATAATAATACGTACGCCAATGACAAAGAGACAAGCCGAGGTACATCATCATTATTATCACGAGAGTGTTGTCATGGGATTAAGATTCAACCACTAGCGGCGGCACTCATTTATTCCGCTGAGATCGCGAAAAATTCAAAAAGATTTAACGTCGCATTACATTTAATTCTTTAACGCGTACAGCTCACGCGATATAAATTATCCCTTAAAGTCGACTTTAACGTTAAGACGACTTTACATTTTTCGCGGATCCGGCTCTAAATCTGCCGAACGAAGCGCGTAACTCATAAAATTAATGCGATACGAGGGAATTATTAAAACGAGTCTCTGCCTCTCGCGCGAAAGCATGAGATAGTGGCGGTATTCTCCGAATCGATATATGTCTCCTTCTCTCTTATTAAAAGTAAGGGGATCGAGATCCGTTAAGTCTCAATTTTCATGCAAGAGTATTAATCTTTGGTTGACCTCTAATCGGCTTTTGTTATACAAACTTGCATACTTCGCAGTGTACGTGATGCGAAGTTGGTCGAGACCCGAGGTACTAATGTTTGCTCGATCTTGTCTGTTTCAGAGATTGCAATGGTCCAGCACCGAGGCGCATCGCGAGCTTTGCTACTTGAAAGGGCGCAGCGACGACGAATGCCAGAACTACGTACGAGTGTTCGGCAGACAAGGCCCCGATCGTTTTCTCGTTTGCGGCACCAACGCCTACAAGCCACTCTGCAGACAATTCACGATCAAGGTAAGCTTATAAGTCCCAAAGCACATAGGGTGATTCTTAGTTGCATGTCGAAACTTCGAGGACTAAATCAAAAGATGTTTCAAGAGGAAAACGCAATTCTATATATGCTTTGCACATGTCATAATAATTTTTTATGCAAGTCTTTATTTTCAAGAAAATAGATTTTGAAAATTGAATAACATGATTAACGATATAGCTTTCTCACTTTCAATAACTTTTTATTACATAAATCACGTATATTACAATCAAGTGCATTGCAACAACGAATAAAACACGATCGTTCTATTGGAAAAATAATAGAAAATTATTCAAGTTAGAAAGTTAAAAAGTTAAGTAAACTTTTTTATTCAATATTTTTTGTTTGTCACAAATCAAAAAGTAAAATAATGTTTAGTCCAATATAAAGAATCTGTTTTATACTTTACACTCTAGATTTAATTGAAAAATATTGACATGCAATTAATGATCCCTATACTTTTCGACGTCGACACTCTTTCGCCTGTCAGTGAGTCGAGAAAAATACGAAGCGTATAACGTATCGTATAAAATCAAGTGATATTGCGAGCGAATCGGTTAATGTGTAGAAGAACGAGCGATTGACTTCGACAGGTAATTTTCTCGGAGGGATTCGAAAACGTTCCCCGGAATTTAACCGCGCAATTGGTAAACCACATTTAACCCTTCGTGTTTGTAGAATATATACGGGAATGAGACGCCCCAGGGTTACCGCAATGGCATCGTTATATCCGTAACGGTATTGCTAACATTTCCTGAAAGTTTCATGCAATTCCGGCGCATGGCTTTCAAATTACATAACGCTTTCGTCGTGCATACGTGCCGGACCTGGAACCTTTATTTATATTGAGTTGCAAAATATCGTAACGTGGCGGTAACTAATAGTTATATTTTATGAAATAACACTTCATTTCGTTGATCAGTTACGTTTGGTAAACATTGTGAGCTAGGTGTACAATTAAGTAATAACGATTACTAATCTTTGCAGTTACAATACGTTAGAAAGAAGAGAGAGAGAGAGAGAGAGAGAGAGAGAGAGAGAGAGAGAAGAGAAAGAATAAAGGAATAACACACAACAAAGCTTTTAATTTCTTAATAATACAATAAAATTTTTTTTTAATACTTTGCACAAGTAAGATGTAAAATCTTGTACAAGAGAAGAAAGCGCACACACATGTTACGCTCTGTTCAGTCAATGTATATATATTTAAATGTAATTTGTTCATTAAAAGGACAGAAATGATAATACAGTTGAAAAATTATCAAAAGCATAAAGGGAAAAACGCGGAAACTCTGTTTTAATAATTTTCTGCCTTGTTCTCAAGTACCTCAATTACTCGCTCTGGCAGTAATTTATAAAGTCTCTCTGGAATTTCTTTTTATTCTAATCTTACCCATTCTACCTCGCACGTCTTTGATTCATTAATAGCTTGAAATTGCTTTCCACGAAAATATACAGTTTGTGGCTTGTGCTAACATTCTCTAACAATCTGCAATAATATTCAAATCCGGAAAACGTGCTGACCATTGGAAAACGTTTTCACAGAAACGTTTTCTTTCAAAAAATATTATTTTACAACTTTTGCTGTGTACACTACAGCATTTTCTCTGTTAGACAATAAAATTCGCTCTGGCAATACTAGTTTTTTTTTCTTTTCTGTCTCTCTCTCTCTCTCTTTCTATTTATTTTTAGATTATTTTAAACTAATAACAGCAATTATTCGGTATTAGATAAATTCAAAGTTAATCCTTTCATTATATACTTATATTTCGATACAAACCATCTTCATTCATTTACTACCATATCTGTGATAATTTTTATTAATTACATAATAACGTAAGGTAAATTGTGATAATATTTGTCAGGATTATCTAGATTGCATGATTCCGTTTCTATAAGATATCATTTATTTCCGCTTTTTTTTCTTTATTGGACATATCTCTTGTAAATCGCAAATAATCGGCTTGGTATCGTGCTGTCAGTGCCGGTTCTTTTCTTAATCGTTTTTTATTGAAGATACTCAAACTTGTGAAGGACGTGTCGGACATTTCTGATATTAATTCAAACAACAACTTGTTGAACAATTTTTATCGAATATGCGAGTTAGAACAACTCTTAAAATTATTTTTTTAAAAAGAATTATAAGAATATTTTCTTTTAACCACATTTTTATTATCTTTTAATAAATTATAAATAAATAATAACTTTTTCGATTTTTTTATGATGATTGAATTTTTTGAAATAGAAGAGTTATATCACAAAAAGTTGTTTTAATCACAAAAATATAACGTTAATCTTTTTTCTACTTTATATCTTTTTACATTCTGTAATTTCTTCTTATCAGATTCGCAAACATAGGGTTCTTTAACTTAGAAAGAAGGTCAAGACCTATACTTATTGATAATTATCTTAGATAAATCGTCAAATAGTCGTTTTCAATTATTATTACTTCAACAAAGTTCCAATGTAACTAATTAAGATTAAGGATCTATTTGAGTTTGATTCTTTTCTTCTGGATTTATTCGACTTGGAAGGCAAAGATTTCCCGTCGCAGTTAGTGATCGTAATTAATTCAAGACGTGTAAACGAGTAATCGAAAAAGGAAAATGATTAACACCACAGCGAGTTTTGCGGACGGGTGCTCTCAGCTGGATTTAAGTAAAGTTACGGATCGGAATAAGTTCTCGATGTGCGCTTATACATGTAGAGCGAACGCAGCAAGACGTCGCGGCGCCCGGCGTCTTAATAATGGCACGTCGTGGAAACGCGTCGTCATGGCGAAACGACGACCAAGGTGGGCGGTGGATAGTAAAAGGAAAAAAAAGGAAAAGTGGCACAAGGGCGTGATTTATCTGCTCGTATATCTTTTTCCTTCTTTTCTCCTTTCTCTCTCTTTCTCTTCTTTTCTTCCGATCTCGAACAGATGACGAGATTGCTGCAGGTGCACGGAGACCAGGTAACTGGTATCAAGGCAACGAGATAAGGCTATATCTTTGTTCAGATGCGTTTACCTATGGTTGAATCTGCGCTTAATATGCGAACAAATTATGGCATTATAAAATAAACAAAAAAAAAGACAAATTATATATTATATTTATCTGTTGAACAAATATTCTTGACAATTAAAATACAAAAGTATTATAATTGCCTAAAAAATATTAATTATTAAATATTCAGATTTTGAGAATTATTACAATATACATACTTTATATATATTAAGATGAAGATTTTACCGCTAAATTCTGTTGCAAGAGAGTAGTGCAAAAAAATACTGCAAACATTTTATCTGAAAATATTTGTTCTCACAAAGTTGTATCCGCAGATATTTATACATGAAAATTGTTATTAACGTTGGTGGGCTTTACTTTAGAAAATAAAGTTGCTATGTATATACAGATTATATGATCAAGATATTAAAAATAATCAAAATACGCTACCCCGTCTAAATATCATTATTTCTTCTTTTTAAGAGTTAACGATCTCTTGTATATGCATCTTTGATAATTGTGGCTATCCAATTTTAAGAATAAAGAATCTTCAAAATAATATGCGATCTTCTCATAAAAGAAATAAATAGACAATTAGGATTAGACATTTACGTCCAACACCAAGTGTAAGTAACGGACGCGAGGATTAACATCGAAAGTGCACGTATGTGTGCATCGATCGTATGTGTGCGCGAATGGCAGTGACATACGTGGTATGAGATTCGAATGTTGTCGAGATCTTCTTGAAGTAATCAACCGGTGAGGCTTCCAAAGTTCTCGAGTAGAGAGGAAGACGTATCGATGAGTCTTCGTGGAAGTAACTGGTGTCTCCTTAGGACATCGCGATACCTTATCATTCCGCTTGCTGAGCGAAAGGAAATTTATTTTCCGTAATACCCTTCGATCAGTGATGGAAAACTGATGCGCCGCCCTCTCACTTCTCGCACGCGAGCTCTAATTCACGCGTCCACGAAAGCCAGCAATTTTTATTTCCGTATTATGCGCCATTAAAAACTCATCCGCTGCAACCGCGTGCACGCTGACGAATAAATCATACGCAAAGTAGGTCTGCTTTTCGCCGGAAGTTTTCAGTAAACACGCAAGATTTACGTCACGAGAACTTCTGCGAGAAAAAAGAAATCGAAAATTTCACCGAAATAAATTTTAACGCACGGTTCGACGACGTGACGATGCAAGATCGCGCTGTTTACAATTGCAACGATCAATACGAAGCAAGATACGCGAAAAAAAATGGCGCGATATTCGCGACAAAACTCGCTTTGCAGACGGATGATTTTGCCGTACAAGGATTTTCTACTTTTTCGTCACTATATTTGCTACGCGAACACATACCGGGGTACTTTTCACTTTTTTTTTAGAATTTATGAAAGACTTATGTGCAATGTAGAAATAAATTTTAAATAATAAACCGCGATAGAGGCTTTTAAACTCGATAAGCTATTGCTATTTATTCGCATAGAATAAAACATACGCTACTATAAAGAGTGAAAAATATTTTGCATGTTTTAAAGTCGAGATTGAGCATTCTTTCTAATCTTTCTTAATCGTCACAAACTTCAAACGTGCAATTTCACTCATAGTTTATTAAATTCGCAGCGGATTATATTGAAGATTAAAATTGTGTTATGCGATTACGAAGATTGGTGCTCAACTAATGAGGATCGGTATCTTTATTAATCGAGTTATTATGTTTAAACTTAGATGATAATTTTTAACTTTATCTTATGACATAAATCATCCAACTTTACAGCAACTACGAAAGTATAAATAAGAAAATTTTGATATCTGAAAAATAAAAATAAGAAAATTGTTGAAGCTGTCTGATAAGTTATACAAAATATCTAAATTTTCTTTATTTTTTAAATAGAATATTATATATCTTTATTCATATTTTGATAGAGGCGAGCTATGATAGAAATAAATTTATCATTTTATGGTAGTATGATCGAAATTTATGCAAACTGATAATATTAATT